AGAGGGGACTCCACTTCTCCGGCTAGCAGCAGCACATTGAAAGGGGGAAGGGAGAGGGGGGGAGGCGGGAGCCCAGCAGACCGCCCGGGCCCGGCTAAAAAAGCTGGCCCCACACACATGATGAGTGTGGATTGAGTGCACTGAGAAATTTTTTTCCTGCCGGGCACTAGACGGTTCTTTAGTGCGTCCTACTTTGTTCCTGGCACAAAAAATTTAGTTCCCGCCACTAAAATTACTGTGCATGGCAACAAAATTTTAAAGCTCGGCAACAAAACTTTGGTGGCCAGGCACAACTGTATAGTGCGTCAAAAACTTTCGGTCTCGGGACAAAATGTTTGACTAAACATTTTTCTCAAGTGTAGGTCGTGTTTCGCACCGTTCTGACTTTTTGACGGTCTAACATTAGCGCTGTTTTCGGTCCGCAGATCTACTCCGTCATGGCCCCCATCGTGTACCAGGACATCGTCTCGCCGCCCGTGCAGGCGGTGGCCTTGACCGTGCGCGCTGCCCGGCTCGACTCCGTCGTACAGTTCCAGAATGTGAGCCTGGCAGCCGGTGAACACATGAAGCCCGAGTTTGTCAAGGTTTGTCAAGTTTTAAACTTAAGTTTTCGGGAAGAGCTGTCAATCTCGCGCCGTCTCATGCCAAGGCCATACGAGCGGCCGCAGGGCAAGAGGTTTTATTCAGGATGATTGAGAGAATTATTGTATTTTCAGAAATTCCCCACTCACACTGTGCCCGCGCTGGAAGATGACGGATTTTACCTTTGGGACAGGTAAGAAAGCCATCAGAACCTATGTTCACCGACTTCGGAATAGTGTATTTCGACCAACGGAGGAAGAAGAAGAGCGGGTAGAACATAAACGTTACCGATTGGTCGAGAGCTCCCGCCTCTACGTCACGCCGGTAGTGGGGGTAAGCTCTCGGCCAATCAGGAACCTTCATGTTCTACCCGCTCTTCTTCTTCCTCCGTTGGTCGAAATACGCTATTGAAAAATTATTTTGAGACTAGCCTGTCCAAGACTTCCCCGTAACTATTTTAATTGCATTTTTAGCCACGCTATTTGCGCGTACCTCGTTTCTGCATATTGCAAGGACGACAAACTCTACCCCAAAGACCCCAAGAAGAGGGCCAAGGTGGACCAAT